GACACAGGGCTGAGCTATACACTTCTAGACAAACTTGTAATACCTAGACGCCTCAGTCAGAAGAAAAGGAAACACAAATAGCAATATGAATTATCCTCTTAAGAGAAAGCTGAGAGGAAAGAAGAACCTTCCCCAGAAACCCTCCCCCCAGCCCCCAGCCTTCTAACTCTACCAACATGGATTCTCTCAAAGCTTTTGCCAGCAGTAAGCTTCAATATGCAGTCTGCTGTGAATATTTAAGATATGGGCATATGTATGGTAATAGTTTGGTACAATTTCGTATTACCCTGGGTGAACCGTTGTGGGCTAGCTATGTCACACAGAATCTGGAGTCATTTTGAAATGCAGGAGGAAGAGACAATACTCAGAGAGTGAGAGGATGGGGCCCTAGGTGTGGCTCTGAGGGTCAAGTGCCTGCTTTCCATAAGCATAAAGACCCCAGTTCCACCCCAAGAAAACATCTAAAATAGTTAGGTTTGATGATGTGGGTGTGTAATCCCAGCCCTGGGGAGATGGAGGCAAGCAGATCCCTGCTACTCCCTGGCAGGTCAGCCTTTCCCAGTGGGCTAGCCCCAGGCCAGCCAGAGGCCTATTCTCCAAAACACAAGGTGGACAGGAGCTGAGGAACAACTGAAGTTATCCTCCAGCCAGAACATGGCACACAAGTGGGAGGATGGGAGGAGCTGTTTTGGTTTCAGCAGCACTGAGACACTGATAAATTATTTCTTGTTGCCTAGAGTCCCCTCCTGTGAGTAGAATCAATTATGCTCCGTTGTGACACAAATGTCTCCCATTATCTGGGTAGAAATCTCTAAGATTAATAATTTTCTTTCTCCGTTAGACAGTGATCTGCACTGATCGTGTCTGTTTGCTAAAGCATTCTGTTTTACAACCGCGCCTTTGAAGCTCGCATTTAAAGGTTAAGAACAGCTACACTGGTTCCATTAAATTAGCTCAAGAAGACAAGAGCGCACTGGAAAATGGAAAGTACACACCCCCTTCCTTCTCTGTCTGCTTCCTGCCTTGGAAATTGACAAATAGGCACCTCCAGTCCCAAGGGTTTGCCATCCACTCCCCTGGACCTCTTCCTATGCACCTTGTACTTTTAGAACCCAATGTTTTCCTTTATGATTTTTTTTCTTGGTCCTTTGAGCTCTGAGAGTTCAATACAAAGCTGAACTTCAGGTCAGTATAGTACAGAGGGGGGAGAGTCTCTACTCTCAGAGAAGCAGATTTCCCCAGTTGTTAAAAAAGATAGACATACCAACATATTCCCTGGTCCTGGTGCTTGGTTTTTAGGTTTGCCACTATCATCCCACTCAATCTCAATTGTTCTCCATTTCTGCCACACTGCCTCAGCTTCCTACCATGCCATGTTGGCTATTGCTGCTGCAGGAGTCACCTCCTTGCAGAATTAAGCTTAGATAATCTTCCTCCATCCATTGCCTCTGAATAACACTAATTCTCTTCAGATGTGGTGTTGTGGTCAATGAATTTATAAGCCCAATTTCACTTTTTGCCCACAGATGGAGGCCAGGTTGCTAAGCATCCTTGCCCAATCTAAGATCCTTGCCCAATCTTCAGTTTCCTATGGGTTCTCTTCCTTCTTTCCTTCCTTCCTTCCTTCCTTCCTCCCTCCCTCCCTCCCTCCCTCCCTCCCTCCCTTCCTTTCTTCCTTCTTTCTTTCCTTCCATTCTTTCTTTCATAAAGAGGCAGCTTTCAAGAACTTTCATTTGCTGGTTCTACAGTGTCTGAATCAATGTAACACATTAAAATGTTTGCTCCCCCCCTCCCAGCCAGGATATTGCATCGAGCATTTGAGATGTTCCAGTCATGTGTCTTTTCTATACAGGCTCCAACGTAATTAATATGCTTACACATGATCATGTAAGTGCAAACTCTCTCTTGTTCTTCCTTCTAGATGTCGGCTTTGGGACTATGGCTGGGTTCTGAACTGGAAAGACCGAGCTCTCTCCAATAAAAGAAAAGCTTCACATGTTGTCTGTGGCTATTGGAAAAGGGAGAACCAAAATTGGAAATGTTTAGTTCCCAGCATCTACATCAGGCAGATCATGGCAGCCTTTAAGTCTAGCTTCAGAGAATCTGACACCCTAGCCACTTACACACACATACAAACACACACACACACACACACACAGAGAGAGAGAGAGAGAGAGAGACAGAGAGAGAGAGAGAGAGAGAGAGAGAGAGAGAGAGACAGAGAGAGACAGAGAGAGACAGACAGAGAGACAGACAGACAGAGAGAGACAGAGAGACAGAGACAGACAGAGACAGACACAGAGACAGAGATAGCGTTGATTCTGTTTATTAAGATATTGTCTCACTACATAGCCTGGCTGTCCTGGAACTCACTATGTAGACCAGGCTGACTTCGAACTCACAGAAATCTGCCTGCCTCTGCCTCCAGAGTGCTGAGATTAAAGGTGTGAGCCACCACACACAGCCACACAAAAGTTTTTTTAAAAGAAGTTGAAGTGTACAGCATCACCTCCAGGGCCTCATCATGCACACACAGATGTTTCTGGTGGATGAACTCCAGCTGGATGTGGAAAGTTTTGAAGATAAAGGGAAGAGGAGTTTTGCCTTTAGGTCTTATTAGTCATAAACATCCAAGGAGTTGTAAGAAGTGATTCTTACCCTGAGTTATGGTTGATGCAGCCCCTTATGCCTCAAAAAAGACATCAGTGACCATTCACATTATCTTTTTACCAGATGATCTCTGAGTCTTTGAGCAAACTCTGGCTCTTCCAAGAACTCAAGACTGCTAGATCCTTTTCAGTCTACCAGTTGTTCTGCCCCCACCCCGCCCCCTCTCTCTCTGGCTTTCAAGACAGGATTTCACCATGCATCCCTGGTTGTTCTGGAACTTGTTTTGTAGACCAGGCTGTCCTCAAACTCAGAGGTCGACTTGCCTCTGCCTCCTAAGTGCTGGTATCAAGGATATGCACCACCACACCGGGCCCTTGAGTTGTTCTTTAAGGCTTTGTTCATCTTTGTGAAGACAGGATCTTCTTGAGACAGGATCTCCTTTAGCGAAAGCTTATCTCAGATTTCTAATATAACTGAAAATGACTCCTTCATCTTGGAATATCCAACTTCCAAGTGCTGAGATTATAGACATGCCCCTCCATAGCTGGCCAATGTTTTCACTCTTTTATAATGTCAGGAGCAGCAGCTGAGACGCTGCCCCCAAGCCAGACGATGTCTCTTCTACTGGAGGCCATCGTCTGGTGACTATGTAGCTTCTTATTTTCTGCTTTTACTCCCAGCCCCGGCCTTTCTTCTAGGTTCTATAAAGAACCCATCTGTTTAGGATCCTCAACGAGTTTGTGTAACTCAGGGCTCTGTCCTAAGCCTTGTATCTTTTCAGCACATCAGTCTTTATCCGCATGATCTTATCTAGTCCACGGTTTCAACTAACATATACATTTGTGGCTGACTCCGAAATACGGAGTAGTATCCCCAGTGTCTTAATCCAGTATGGGTTTCTAGCAAAGTGCTGGGTAGCCATTAGCCACAGAAATTTATCTCTCGTGGTTCTAGGGTCTGAAAGTTCAAGATCAAGGTGCTGCATCTGATGGAGACCCACTTCCTAGTTTTCAGATGATATCTAAGTTCCTAGGGCAGAAGAGAGATCGATGTTTCCTGGAGCCTCCCTTACAAGAGTATCAATCACTTCCACCAAAGGCTGTGACTTTCGATACCCTCATATTGACATTAGGCTTCAACCCACGAAACTGGGAGAATGTAAAATTCTAATCTGCAGCACCAAACTCGTCTCTTTTAAGCTCTGAATTCATTTCCTTATCTTATCTTATCTTATCTTGATACTAGAGACTAAACCTGGGGTGTCTCATACATGCTAAGCAAGGGCTCTACCACCGGACTATACCAGGACCCTCAGACTCATCTTTTAGACCACTTACTAATGACCCTACTTGTTCCAAATAGCTGACCAAACTCAAACCATTGTTCATTCTTCACATTTGTTCATTCTCTATTTTTCTTCAGTTTGCTGAGTTGTATCCTCACTTCCACATAGACAAGAAAACTAAAATGTGACGTATTACTCTCCCATGGCTACCTGGGGCCTAATAATCCTACTGTCTTGTCAGGATGTGTTCGTGAACCCTACCATCCTGATACCTTTTCTTTGCACAGCCATTATGTGCTTTAGTGATGATATCTATTTAGATATTTTTGTGGTTGTTAAAGCCATAGAAATGAACTCTGATTAATTTAGGTTAAAAATGTTTATTTGAAAGGATATTGGCCAAGCTCAGAGAATTGAGGGGAAAGCTTAATAACCATGCTTCAGGAAACTCTAGGTCTTAGGTCTTCCTCACTGCTCCCATGGTGTCCTGAGCTTGTCGCTAATGTGGGTGTAACCTTTTGTTGCACTTTCTTTGTGTTCCTTTCTGGGTTAATTGCTCTCATTAAGGTTGAGAAACAGATTGAATTTATGTTTGGGTGATCTAGGATGGTGTCTGATGCATTATCACATATTTTAAAATAAACTTTGAGTGCCTAACATCATAAAGCACTGAGTAGCTGAAAAAAAATATATATAACAGAACTATGAAATATATATACAAATATATATACAAATAGAACTATGAAATACTTAATGCTCACCAAAAACAACACCCGAAGGCATTGACCAGAAATTCAATCTGAGTAGTAGCATAAAGAAAGAAGAATCCAATGGTTAGGAGAAGTGTTTTTTAGGATGGGGATAGGTATGAGAGAGAAGCACTCCCTGTGTGTATAATATACTTATTGTGTTGGGAGATGGAATGAGAATGTTGGTTAAGAAAGAGATGAAGAGACCCTGGTCAGTCAGTGGGAGGAAGAGGAAGGTTAGACCAATAAGGACTGATCACGCAGATTTTTTTAAAAAATGTGTCTTTGCCTTTACATTCTGTCTTTAGAACAGAGTACTTCAGCATTCTAGATTGCTAATCCTTCAGAATCCAGAAGAGAATCATTGCCTTCAACATGGAAAGTTGCCCTGTTAAGGACTTGTCTCTTCCTGAGATTTCCTAATGTCCTTAAAGGTACCACATGCCAGCGCGTTCTCCTTTCTCCCTCTTTTTCCCTTCTCCTCTCTTCGTTCCCTGCATGCCTTTTCTTTCTTTGTCATAGTCTCTCTATTTTGCCAGGGTGGTCTCAACCTCCTGAACTCAAGGTGTCCTTCTCCCTCAGCCTTTGAAGTAGCTGGGACAGCAAGCATGTGCCACCATGACCAGATGTATCTTTTTATCTTGAATTTTTACTTCTGTGGGATTCCTCCCCTTCAGCCTGGGCTGCACACAAACAAGACATACAACTTCTCATTGGTAGCAATTTTTTTATTTCAATTTTAATACATACTCAAAACTAGAGAGACAGTTCTTGGAAAGCTAAACATGAAAAAGAACAAAGAATTTATTAGCTCACTTACCAAGAAGGGAACTTTCAGGATTTAATTCAATGCAGTCAAAGTCTGGACTTGTTTGTTTGTTTATGCATAGACAAGCAAATTAGAGATAAATCCTAATGTAGGGAACTTATTGATGTGAATTTGGAACATTTTCCCAAATGGTGTTTTGTTTTGTTTGTTTTGTTTTGTTTGTTTTGTTTTGTTTTGTTTACCAGCAGTCTTCATTTTTAAGGCCCCTCATGGGTTACCTCCCTTTATTTCTTATTACTCAAAACAACGGCCACCAAACTTCCAGTTTGGGGGCTTCACAAACCATTCGACAAGACTCTTAAGTTTCACATCCTTGAGGAAACCTCCTTCCCAAGCCTCATTAACCTCTCCTTTCTCTAAATGACAGGTTCCCTAAGTATGTACTCACATTTCTGATAATCCGTATTAAGAAGCACAGGAGGAACTGGAGAGATAGCTCAGCACTTACGATTGCTTGGTGCTCTTGCAGAGGACCTGAATTGATTCCCAACACTCATGTCAGGTGGCCAACAACTGTCTTTAACTTTAGCTTCAGGGAAATCTGAGACCTCCAGCCTCTGCAGACACCTGCATTCATGTGCACATGTCCCTCATACATAATTAAAAGTAAAATGAATCTTCTTTTTTTAAAGTATAGCAGCTCTACTCTACACAGATACACATAAGCACACATGCTCATTTGCACACACACACACACTCATGTGCACACACAGGCTCATGTGCACAGACACACACACACATTTTCCCCAGCTTCTCAGGCCTTGGCTGTGGATAAGGATGGTTGTTAAGTTGAAAGAAAAGGTAACTTGAAAGTTGGAAGTTCCTTAGACTTTCCCCTTCCATTGTACATATGATTTAATTTCATTTCATTTAGAATCCTTAAATAGGTAAATCTCACCACTGTCACCAGATTAGACCTTTAAAATCCTTCAGCTAATGATTTAACTTTACAGATGAAATTGAGACTTGTAAGAAATGAAGTCACTAATGTATTAGTGCATATTTTTTTCTTTTTATGTTTCAGGTTTCATAATTACTTCCCTTCTCCCCTCATTGGTTAAATAAATTCAATTTCTCAAGGGCAAGGATCATTATACTTTACTCAGCGCCTACATCTACAATACCCATTTATCAATCTTCTCTTGTTTCTCACACAGGATCAAGATTGAGTCTAGGCACACGGTGTGTGCTAAGAAAAGAATAATTTATTGACTTGAAGCCTCATAGAGTGTGACTCATTTAGAGGCACTGATTTTAGGCCTCAGTGAATACTTGCTGTGAGTTGGTCCAGTTCTCAGTGAACAGCCATGGGCTCAAAGAGATATTCCAAGTATGTAATCTTCTTTGCTAAGCTGTAAACACCAATTTCTACTAACTTTGTCATGCATAGCATCCTTGATGTTGTGAATCACCGAGTAGAACTTTATTAAATATGTTTTAGTTGACTTCAGGAAAAAACAAAACAAAACAAAACAGAGTTGGATCCGTATTTCATGTGGCAACAAAAGCATTCTTGCCAAAAAGAAAGCACCAGGCTTCTCAAGATGAGTATTACTGAGATAAGGAAGGGCTCTTCATATAGTTCATGCCCTAAAACTGACCTTGCAGAAGAGTCTGAGATCCTGTGTAGCTCTGTAAACACCAGAAAAAAAATTATTTTGAATAAAAATGATGCAATAGGATTAACTGTTATATACATAGAGTACGAGAATACATCAAAGGAGCATAGAATTTAAGATATTTAGACAAAGTGAACTTAATTGAATCTACCCAGTAGGCTTGGGAATATTTTTAAGCCCTTTAGTCTGAATTTGGAGGACTAGAGATATATCTCAGTGGTAGAGCACTTGTTTGGCAAGTGCAAGTCCCTAGATTCAGTCACCAGTATGGGAAAAAAAAAAGAGTCAAGAACTCCAAAATACTTTATAATCAGGCATTACTTCCTTCCCCCTCCCCTCAAGGAGAATTGGTATCTGGTGGAAGACAGAGAAGTAAGGGAACAATAATAGCTCATCACAAATGTTTGCCAACTGGAGACTTTACTACCCTAGTTCTAGAAGAAACTTTTAGACGTGGTCAGGAAAATGATTTGACCATTCATATAAGCAAAGCCAATAGGAATCAGAAATTTGTTGTGAAGTTCCCTAGCTGTATTTCTTTTCGTGACTGACCAAATTAGCCATCACTGGCCAAAGTCAGGCCTGTTTCAATATGGAGGACAAGCAGGTAGGTATTTAAAATAGTAGGATAGTCTAGCTGTCTGGAAGAATTTTCTTGGGCATTCTACTACAGCAACTTCTTTGAGTGAACTAAAACAAACAAACGAACAGACAAACACAAATCAACTTATCAGGGGTCTGCTTGTCTCCGAGAAGCCCAGTAACTCCTGAATCTTAACTTTTCCTTTCCGCAAGATGGATGTGATCCATTTACTTGATGTATGAGTACCTAAATTAGTAATCTCTCAAATTAAGCTCCCAACTTAATCTGAGGAAGTCTGTGGACCTGCAGAAAGACAGGACTCTCGAGTCAGTAATGCAACTGGATGTCACATTCTCTTTTCAGGTTTCAAGAAAGTGGGGGACCAAAGACTTTGGGAAATATTAAATTTGAAAAACAACCAGGTCCAGATGATGAAGAGGTAAGAAAACTCAGTTATATACGTCCCTACATCATCTTTCTTTGGGATTGCTTAAACTATCTTACAAGTAGTAGGTTTCTAAACTTCCTATGTGAAAGCAAAGGGGAACGCACATTTATATACAGAGTGAGGTTAATTTATTCTACTTTTTAAAAAAAGGAACAGAGAAGTTGAGGAGGTAACAAGAACATATCACCAACAAATCAAGACACAAAACTAAAAACCGGTAACTTACCTTAGGAAGTATTAAATCCTAACTTACCTAAACAGTAAGCTATTTTTCTTCTATATAAAAAAATTTTTTTTTTGCTTCTCTAGACAGAGTTTCTGTGTATTATTGGCTGTCCTGGAACTTATTCTGTTGATCAGGTTGGCCTTGAACTCAGAGAGAGATCCGCCTGCTTCTGCTTTCTGAGAACTGAGACCAAAGGCGTGCACCACCACCAACCAGTTTATGTCACTTTTTAATTGATTTTAAAAGTTACTATACAAAGTAATGTTTAGTTTTAGCTGTTTTGTTTTGTAGTACTATAAACTAAATGCAGGTCCTCATGTACGCCCATCAATCACTCGTCTTGGTTGGGTTTTATTGCTGCCACAAAAAACATGATCAAAAATCGAGTTGGGGAGGAAAGGGTTTATGGGGGTTACATTTCCAGATCATAGTTGATCACTAGAGGAACTTAGGACAGGAACTCAAGCAGGGCTGGAAAGTGGAGGCAGGAGCTGATTGCAGAGGCCATGGGCGGAGGGTTTCTGCTTACTGGTTTGTTTCACATGGCTTGTTCAGCCTTTCTTATAGAATCCAGGATCATCACCAGCCAGGGATGGTACCAACTACCATGGACTAGACCCTCAGCCATTGATCACTAATTGAGAAAATGCCTTACAGTTGGAGTTCATGGAGGTATTTCCTCAACTGAGGCTCCTTCCTATCTGATGACTCTGGCTTGTGTCAAGTTGACACACAAAACTGGCCAGTACAATCTTCTCTTTACCTTTTAATACAGGGACTCACAAAGGTGCTCAGTATAACCTTGAACTCAAGATCCTTTGGTCTCTGCCTCTGCTTCCAGTATCCAAAACCACAAGCCTATGCCACAAAGTCTGGCATAGTATATAAGTCATATGTCATATGTATGTGTCAGTATAATTTATTCCTATGTGTCCTCCTCCTGCCACTATTTCTCCATGTTCTCTAGCCTCCCCTTGCTGACCACTTCCTCTTGTCTTAAATAGCACCCTTTTCTGTGTTTCATTTCACCAATATTCTATTATCTACTGTCCTAGTTAGCCTTAACTGTCAACCTGACACAGTCTTGAGTCACCTGAGCAGGTAGTTTCAATTGAAGAATCACCCAGATCAGATTGGCCTGTAGGCATATCTGTAGGGGACTATCTTGATTGTTAATTGATGCAGAAAGGCCTAGTCCACTGTGGGCAGCACCATTCCCTAAGTAAGTAGTCTGTGCTAGAAAACTAGCAAAGCATACGACTGGGAGTAAGCTAGCAATTCCTTCATGGTTTTCTGCTACAGGTTCTTGCCCTGACTTCCCTCAGTGATAAACTGTGGCTTAGAAGTATAAGCCAAATGAATCCTTTCCTTCCCTAAGTTGCTTTTGACCAGTGTGTTTTATCATAGCAACAGAAAAGAAATTAGAACAGCCACCACCGTGAGATTTCTTTCTCTCTTTGATGGTCTCTTTTCTACTTTCACCTGCTCCCTCTTTAGAGCTGATGATCCAAACACAGAATTATGTTTGTCTGCTTTTATTCTGTGTTCTGGGTATGCTAAGAATATAATCCATGGTCTCTGCCTCCTGTGTTGTTCTCACTTTCATTCATCCTTAGATAACCCAGGGTGAAGGGCATGGAGAGGAGCCTTTCCTTCATCAGTCCAAATAACGACACTCCCACAATACAATGATACTAAGCACTAGACCGAAGGGGGCATCAAAATTTAACTTTTTCAGCATCTCTAGAAGAATTGTATTTGCAGAGTTATTTAGAAATACAAAAAGTTTTCTCTTCTTCCTTGTCCTGTGAGTGTCAGTTCCCAGCTCTGTTGGCAGAGTTGTCCCTGGAGGTTCCTGGAAGACACTTCTTAGGTTGTTGTTTTTCTGTAACTGATTTTCACCTTAACTGTTAGCCCCCGTGTTGATGTCACCTGATCTTAGTCCCATATAGGGAAGAAGAAGAGGAAGGGTATGATTCCACCTGCCTAGTGCCCTTCAGCTTCGTGTGTGTGTGTGTGTGTGTGTGTGTGTGTGTGTGTGTGTGTGTCAGGGTCCGTGTGTATGTGTATATGTCTGTGTATGAAGGTCTCTGTGTGTGTGTCTGTGTGTGTGTGTGTCTGTGTGTGTGAAGGTCTGTGTGTGTGTGTGTGAAGGTCTGTGTGTGTGTGTGTGTGTGTGTGAAGGTCTCTGTGTGTGTGTCTGTATGTGAAGGTCTTGTGGGGATGGTACATGTGTATGTGCCTATGGAGACAGGAAATCATCCTGAGGTTTTATTCCTTGGGAATCATGCTGCCTTGTTTTTGAAGACTGTCTCTCACTGGTAGACTAAGCCGACTAAGCAAGGAGCACCAAGGTTCTATCTGTATTTGCCTTCCTGGAGCTAGAGTTACAATCATGGTCCCTGACACACAGCTTTTGATGAGGATGCTGTGGATGTCTTCTTGCTCATGTGGCCCCTTTCTGGACTGAGTTATCTCCCCAGTCCCCATACATGGACCTAGGCAGGTCTGCCTTACCATCTACATCCTTCCCGTTTCAGAATCCTGCTCTCCTGGCTATAGACCTTGTTCCAGAAACACCAGGATACAATCCAGGCAGAATAGGTTCTCCTCAGTTAGTGCCCAGAAAAGACCCTTTTAGTGAGAATGGGGTGAGGCCATACTGTTTCGTGGGTGAGACTATGGCACCAGAAAGTTAGCTCAGTGGGTAAAATTCTTGCACAGCAAGCATGAAGGACCTGAGGTCAGATCCCCAGGTCAAGGTTAGGAATGTGGCTCAGTTGGTAGAGTGCTTGCCTGGCACGCACAAAGCCCTAGGTTAAATCTCCAATCCTGGATAAAACAGGCATGATGGCACATGCCTGGAATTCTAGCACTCAAGAGGCAGAGGCAGGAAGATCAGAAGTTAACTTGTGATACAGGAAACCCAATCTTAATTTTTTTAACGTGGCAGTGTGGGCCCATAACTTTAGTATTTTGAGGGAACTGGACCGAGACAGGAGGATCCCTGGGGTTTGCTTTCTAGCCAATCTAGCTGAATAGGTGAGCTCTGGGGTGAGTGAGAAACACTATCTCAAAAAAATAAGGTGAAGAGAAAGACAACAGATGTTTGCCTCTGGCCTCCACCGCCACCACCACAACCATTACCACTACTACCACCATACACACACACACACACACTGAGAGAGAGAGAGAGAGAGAGAGAGAGAGAGAGAGAGAGAGAGAGGTGTGTGTGTGTGTGTGTGTGTGTGTGACTTGAACCACTAATTCTGTTCCTTGTCTTCAGATCTATGATACAACTGCACAATCAAAATTTGTCCTGAAGAACCTCAGACACTACACAGTCCATCCAAATATGGTAGGTGAAAACCATATCCCCAGAGATCTCTAAGGGCAGATTTCAGCAATGGGTCCACAGCCCTGACTTCAGAGTATCCCCAGTTTCTAGGATGGAGAAATGGAACCACTTTGGGGATACAATGTTGGGACTTGTTTGTGAGGTGGGAGGAGAGACCTGGGGAGAAAGGGGTCCCTGTTCATTCTATTCTTCAGTGGAGAAAACATAATCAGGGGAAATGTGTAATCCACACTCCTTCCTCCCCCCACCCCCAAGTCTTCTTATTCAGAGAAAAGCAAGCTTGGTGGTGACTGTCCCTTCCCCACCCACACCTGCAGTGACTCACTGTGCTTCGTGACTTTTTCTTTTAACATGCTCTGGAGCTTGTTAGTAATGCCTGTGCCTGGAGAGAGATGCTGGTGCTGGTGGAGATGAGAGAAAAGCAGAGCTTGGTTCCCACTCCCAGGGTTTCCAGAAGGCCAACCAGGCTGAGCCACATACAACTCCTATTTGTGCCAGGAGACTGAATGATGGCTCCCTTCCCTTCTCCTCTCCTCTCTTTTTCTCTCCTCTCTTCTCCTCTCTGCTCCCCTCCCCTCTCCTCCTCTCCTTTCTTCCCCTCCCTCCCCTCCCCTTCCTTCTTCCTTCCTTCACTACTTCTCTTTTTTTTCTTTTTGTGAATGACTTTAATCGGCTTGTTCTGTTACTATGGAAACCCCTCTGCTGCATTTCCCCAAGCCCCTAGTTTATTTGCAACTCCAAGGGAAGGCTGTGACAGAGAGCTCCCGAGAAAGTTTCAAATCAACAAATTTAAAGATTTAAAGGCAGGTTTGGTTAGTGTCTACTCAGCCTCTCAGCAGGGTGAGGGGGGGATGGGGACGGAGGATGGGGAGGGGGTGTTAGCCAACTGATTCCTTAGTCTGTCTGGAAATCTTTCTCTCTACTCAGGCCAAATACTATGAGCCTTTGAAGCCCAGTAAACTGCAGAGACTCCTGACTCAAAAGAAGAAAATGAATAGTTTTATGGTAAAGGTGACAGAGTATGATCAGGATATGACGTTACTGCTCATGACTAACAACCCACCGCCCTGCTCCTTCGGCCAGCAGGAAAAGGATGGAGCTCCAATATACTTTCCCCCAGAGTTTCAGTTAAAGGTAATGATGCCCAAGAAGGTCTCCTAGCAACTTGCTTGTGGACCAGAGGGAGGCAGGGGTTGGAGTTAACATAGAGAGAGCCAACTTAACGTAGAGGAGGGTTACCAGGATGCTACTTCTTAGGTCCTCTCTAGGTCTCAGGGTATATACTCCATGAAACTGGAACTGCTGAGTCTGAAGTCAGTGGGGACTACATAGCAAGACACTGCTGCCTTAAAAACGTTGCATAAAAATAATTGCTGAACATATTCAGTAAGCTAGAAACCAGAACAAGACCATAAAGATAACTATAGGACAAATTCCATCCTGAATAATCTTGGCGTCTAATAATCAATAAGCGATCCACATTAGAACAAGTCCACTGTCCCAGGACATGTGACTAATCTAAGAATACTTAAAATATAGAAATTACAGACACTAGAGAAGAATCTCCCTGTTGGGGAAAGGGGAGTAATCAAGGAGGTGACTCACTAGGACAGCATAGGAGAGACCTTCTGATCGGAGGGATGTGGGAAGGCTTGGGGACACAAGAAATCGAGGCAGGAGATAAGACAGCACAACAGATTTGCAGTTTAGAAAGAACATTTGCAGGTTGAAGGAAGGTGTATTAGTTGTAGAAGAAACAAAAATCCAGAGAGACTAGTTGTGAGGCTACTTTAATTCTTGAGGTGAGCAATGCTGAAAAATCGGAACTAAATTCAAAATAGCAGAATAAGTGAAAAAAGTCGATTTAAGGAATATTTGGGTGTCAGGAGCTGAGGAAAACATTGACAGGCTAGAGAGGGAACCCAATCTAATGGGGAAGAAATTAAATAAGTTGACAGTACAGACGAACGAGTCTTATATAGTTTAGAGTCTTGGAATGGGGCAGCCCAAAGACCGATCCTTAGAACAAACTGGGAGTTGGGAGTTGGTACTTTTTAAATCACTAGATGGATGGCAGTGAAGGATGCCAAAATAAAGTGGTCTGTCCTGGAAAAAAGAACTCATGGATTCATTGTCTTTGGTCTTAGAATTTGTGCCTTTCTACAGTAGGTTCAAGTGTTTATTGTGACAGTGGGTGTAAGGTGCTCCTGAGAAACAAATGTAGCCAGGACTACTGTCCTTAACACAAAGAAGGAAAAACAAACAAAAAAACAAAAACAAAAAGCAAGCATGTAACCTGAGTTCACTAAGAGCTCTCTTTCCAAAGCTGTCCCTTGTGAGTCCCCGAGGTAGAGGGAGGCAAGGACCTGATTGTCCTTCCGAGGTGGTCTGGGTGGCACTTTATTAATGGGGCAGTATTAAGGACCCAATTCTAAAGACTGGAACGGCTCTTTAATATTCCTGATGCACCCCTCCCCTACTCTTTTTGGTCCTGGATTACATATAAGAAAAGTATTCTTTACTGTGCCTGGGCACAGTGTACAGTCCAGTAGGCAACCTGAGGAGTGTGCGCATCAACCGTTGCTGCTCTCACTCCCTTCCTGATGCCTCTGGCCCTGCCCTGTCTCCTAGGAGAGTGCCTAAGAAGCTCTGTTTTGTAACACTATAACCACATCTCTACTCCTAGCATGGACCAGATACCAGATCCAGTGAAACAAAATTCCTAGGCTGGTAACTGACCTGTGGTGCAGACTGGTGCCTCTCCAAACCCAAACAAGCTAAAAACTAAACCAGCTGCTCTACCAACCACCAAATCTTGAGTAAATCACAGATTGGATTTTTTTTTTTTTAATTCTAAGCACCTGAATTAGAAAATGAAAAGATTGGGGCAATGGGAATGAAAATTGAAAGAGCACACAGGATGATGTCCTAGAAGAATCAAACCATGGGAAGAAGGGTGGTCCAAGGGCCAGGCATGTAGCCAGGTGAAGTTATAGGAAGTGGAGGAAGCCGGAGTAGGGGGAGAGAGATAGATATAGCCTTAGAGATTGTATCTCTCGTATCTCTCTATATGCCCGTATATATGTAGGTTACAAAAGGGCAAAGGGGCTACAGATGTTTCAGAGTTTGAGGAGGAGGGAGGGAAGGAGGAAAGGGGAGAGTGGAGGAGGAAGAAGGGACTTGTTAGTGATGTATTAATGCTTAATACGAGACGGCAACCCTCCACTCATGCCACCTCAGCTTCTAAATAATGTCCAGTTTCTGCTTATTTTATTTGCTTTTAAATGTTAACGAAAAAAGAAAAGGAGAAAAAAAGAGCTTTATTTTTTTGTGAGAAGATGTAAAATGATTTATATTATTTTAGCTAGCCCATATAAAAGACACAAAATCCTGGTATTGTGACTTATACTTCCCAGCCATATATCCCTTGTTAGATGTGATGGACCAAGAGCACGTGCCCAAGTGAAACAAACCCTGAGGACAGGCTGATGGAGCGGAAATAACCCAGGCGAGGCTCAAACATCAAGTACCAAGGGACGCATGGCTGGGAAGCAATTAGAATAACGTAAAACCTGCCCAAATCTAGCTTTACAGCCTGTGAATAAAATACCAGGATTGTATGACTTTTATACAGGCTAGGTAAAATAGTGTAAATCATTTTACAAGGAGAGAGAGTGGCGTGTGGAGATCAGAGGACAACCTGCGGGGTCAGCTCTCTCCTTCCATCATGTAGGTCCTGGGGATTGAACTCAAATTGTCAGCCTTGGCAGTAAGCCCCTTTATCTACCTTTACCACAGAGCCATCCTGCCATCCCCTTTGCTTGTTTGGTGGTTGTTGTTTTCCCAGACCCAGTTCTGCTAAGGTTTCTGCTGTTTTTAATGGCAGGGTCATTACCTACATGTTAGTTTTTTGGTTGTTCTGTTTCATTAAGTCACCTATTAATATAATTCGCGTAAGGTCCTATATCTTCAAACTAGAACCACTCAAAGAGAAGGAGTTCAGAAGGAAAATGCATTAGTTCAGTGGCAATACCAAGCGTTTTAAAAAGGTTTTCAAGTTATGAAAGTAAAAGCTTAATATGTCAATTGATAGCTTGGTCATTGGTTCAACAAACATTTCTTTTCTACTATGCGTCAGACCCTGTGAAGGTTAAGAGACTAAAGAGGTATCAGTGACTGATCTAGAGTCTTTGCTTTACTGAAGTGCAAGCCTACTGACTTAGAATATCTACGCAGACTGCAGGCAAAAAAGCAACCAGGCAGATCATGTATAATGTGACACGTGCTTTGAAAAATCAGAAAAGGGGAAAGGGAGGTTTAGATAGTGTGATTCGGGGGTGCTCAGCAGAGGTTATGACTATTCAGTAGACATTCCAGGGGACATATCATGTGATTGCTGCTCCTAGCAAACTGGTCTCATTTTACATAGCCTCCCATTAGGAAAACATTGCCCGTAACTTTCTCTAGTGAGATAAATCACAAGAATAAGGCAATTCAAATTGAGTCAGGTGACACATAGTTCAATATATCGACACTGCTTATCTTGGAAGAAACAGAGCCTAGGTGGAACCTAGTAGATTTTTTTTTTTTTTAATCGAGCGTGCTTTGTAAGAGGCACTGGCTTCATTCCGCTTGAACTATCTTAGGAAAAAAAAAACGCTACAAGGAGACTCGTATTAGCTGATTAAAGATGAAGCTTATTATTAGCATTGTTCTCATTATGATTAGTGTGTGTGTGTATTACATGGAGAAGGCAGAACAGGCGTGTATTATTAGAATGTGTGGAAGTGGATTGGAGAGATGGCTCAGCTGTTAATGGCTAGACTCACAACCAAAAATATAAGAATGTGTGGAAGTCAGAACAAGTTTTGTGGAATTAGTTCTAGGTTTGGAACTCAGATTTCCAGGCTTGTACAGCAAGCATCTTCACCTGCTGAGCCAGCTTACCAGCCTTTTAGGTTGGCTTTGCTTTGTTTTTAGGCAGAAGACAATTGGACCACTTGACAGGAAAATTATGGATGGGATGTGAGAGCCAGATGGACAGTCAGTCAGACTGGATGACTTTTAAGAGAGTCTGAAAGCTTTTGATTATGTGACCTTTAGGAATGGTAAAATTATGACCTCATAAGACCATTCATTCTATGGCCTTTCCACAGCAGAAAAAAAAAAGCAAAAAACCAAAAACATAGCAGTAAGGCGGCTGTCTCCAAGGAAGGAAGGTAGAGTTCTATGGGTCTGCTTCCCAATTTATACCTAAATATTTGGTCTCCCAAGCTGTTCACAGATTGGGTCTGTTTTAAGTGTGCTGTGTCCAAGACACAGACAAGCACACGTGTCTTTACCCAATGTCAGAATTCATTAAGTGACAATAAACTCACAAGCCACTTTGCTTTCTTTGGTTGGCTGCAATTTGCCAAGCACTCCTGATTTCCCTTGATAGCTGGCTGCTGGCAAACACAGATTGTTTTATTACAATCCTAACTACGAATAAAAACTCTCAACTCTGTGCACATTACGTGTCACATGGTGAATCCATGCATCCATCCACCCACAAATGTGAAGGTTTCAGAATGGCTAGAAAAGGGATAGAGAGGCTTCACAGTTTAAGAAGTTGTAAGAGGCCTTACTGGAGGCAGAGGCAGAGAGCTCCTGTGGATTCAAGAAAGAATCACCACAGGTGGTTAGATAAGATTAACAATCTGTTTGTAGAGGAACCCAGTTTGAAAGCTGCTAGAAGCACAGAGCTAAGTGGTGGTGTGGCAGGGTCCAGCTGAGCTGCAGAGGCCTAGACTGTGGAGATGTGGTGCAGTGTGGGGTCCTGGGGTCCGGACGGATGAAGGGATGAGTGGATAGGGAGGATATCAAGTAAGCCTTGACAAGGAGTGGAGACAAAGCTGAGCCAAAGCCACAGGGTCAGTCAACAGTTCTCGAGTTGTCAATTCCTTGGTACACACACTGGTCAGATGATCAGTCACTGAGGCCACCACCATCACAGTGTTTGGTGTCTTTATGGAGTTCAGGAGAGAGTGCTGTGCCCTTCAGCTTTAGGAATAAGTTATTAGTCAGTCTGCTTCAGGGTTGGTGCTGAACAGAAGATGGTTTCTACATGTGCTATAAAACACAGAGTCCTCCTTCTCCACACCTGTCCTCAAAATGAAATCAAAAGCTCCTTTGTTAAATGGTGTCACTGGAAGAAAGGAACAGCTAAAATGTCATCGTTTTACACAATATGGAATAACTTAGAGCAGAGCACAGCTTTTCTGCCACAAACCCTTCCAAACCCAGGAACTTCGTCTGCCATTAATTTTCAGGAGCCCATTGCTAAGGAGTTCAGCCAGTTACTCAAAAAACTGACCGTCTTGGGAAGGTTACCTGAGGATAAAATGGGTCTTTCCCCACTTCCTCTCTTCATGGTCTTTGTGGTTTCTTCTTTTCTGATAGGCTGGGTCTGGCATTTTAACCTTTCATATTCCATTGTGATTTAGTCTAGAAACTCAGTTCCAGTTTTAAACTTGTAGAGACTCAGCTTCCTTCCCTCTTCCCTCTCTTTTCCCCTCAGGAAACTCTCTACCGACGTAAACCCAACAAGAATGTCTTCCTTCCCACAATGTCTCAGAAAAAGAAGTTAATACCAGAACTGAAGCCAGTCTTCCCTATGAAACGGATAGGTGATCCTAACTTCAAGGGACAACAATGGTTTAGGTGAAGTGCTAGCTCTTATTGGGCCTGTTGTTTTCTGTTTTCTTTCCCTTGTATGCATTGCTGTATACTTTAGCAAGCAGAAATGGAAACCCAGGGAGATTTCGGATAAGGTCAACTGGAAGAGAATGCTCTGGAGAAGCTTCCCCATGTAGTTTTGGTTGTAAAGAAGATGTCAGAACACATTAAGACTTTCTTCCTGACGTAAGTGTTATCTTCAGCAACAGGACCTTACCATCAGGTAAGGGAGACATAGTAGGACCAAGGCACAATGTGAACTCACAGAGACTGTGATAGCTTATACAAGATCTTACCAGATTCAAGACAGAAGGGTGCCAGCACTGAGAGGGAGAAGTAGACACCAGATTCTGGTTTCATAACCAAGAAACTGTCTGCAATTGATACCTGATGGCAAAGGGAAAATTGGTTTTCTCCAATGGAGTCTCACTAGTCTCCAATGGAGTATATCAACTACATTTCAGGGTAGGTCCCATGCCTAGGAGTTGTTGGCCAACCCAACAAAACAAACTCAATGGTGTTTTTGTGGACTTTTAATTTTTCTTTTCTCTTTCTTTCTCTCTTTCTCTTTCTCTCTCTCTTTCTTTTTCTTTCTTTCTTTCCCTTTCTTCCTTTCTTTCTCTCTCTCTCTCTCTCTTCCTTTCTTTCTTTCTTTCTTTCTTTCTTTCTTTCTTTCTTTCTTTCTTTCTTTCTTTCTTTCCTTCTTTCTTTTTGAGATATGGTTTCTCTGTGTAGCCTTGGCTGTCCTGGAAGTCATTCTGTAGACCAGGCTGGCCTAGAACTCACAGAGATCCACCTGCCTCTGGCTCCTGAGTGCTTGGATTAAAAGCATGCACTAGCATGCCCAGCTTGATTTTAAGTTTTGTTGACTGTTTTTTGTGTTTCTTGTCTTTTGTTTTTGTTGTTGTTGTTGTTTTTGGTTTTTTGTTTTTGGGTTTTTTTTTTTTTGCCTTGTTTTTGTTTCTAATTCTTTTTTTTGAAACAGAGAAAGAGAAAACAGAAAGTTGGGTGAGTAGGATCAGGGAAGAATTGGGGGAGGGAAATCACTTTCAAATATATTTTTTGTATGAAAATGTTTTATTTTTAATTTGGATTTTAAATACAGTTGGTTTGTTGTCGTTGTTTTGTTTTATTTTGTTTTTCTGTTTGGCTGTGTAGCTTTTGGCTGACTCTGTAGACCACATACTCAGATATGCCTGCCTCTGCTTTCCAAGTGCTGGGATTAAAGGTGTATACCACCATTTCTTGGCTTATGTGAAAATGTTTTACTGAAAACATTTTTCAATAAAAAAATAAGAAAAAAGTCCATGTAAGATATAGCTTCCCAACACAGCCTATATCATCACTTATTTGCTAATAAAAGAAACACAGCCATGCAAAACTAAAGTTTTCCACTGACAGTAATTTCAAGACTGAAGGAAAATGTATTTAAAGGTCTGTGGCTTTTGTTTTTTGTTTTGGTTTGTTTTTTTTATGTGTATGCGTGCTCTGTCTGCATGTACACTTGCATGCCTGAAGAGGGCATCAGACCCCATTTTAGATGGTTACGAGCCACCATGTGGTTGCTATGAATTGAACTCAGGACCTCTGGAAGAACGTTCTTAACCACTGAGCTATCTCTCCAGCCCTAAGGGTCTGTATTTTGAGGGTAGAGAATAATAAAAGTGTGAAGTAAGGACAAGAGGAACAAATGCTATGAGGATACAAAGAAAAAGAAGGTTTTTGAAAGCTGGGGAGATGACTCAGTAACACACTCACTACACAGACTTTGAGGACCTAAGTTTAATCTCCAGCATCCATGTTAAAAAGCCAGGTGGTGTGGTGAAAACTCATTATGCCAGCACTGGGAAACAGGAGGGTCCTTGGAGTTTCCTGGCCAGATAGTCTAGCAAACTCCAGATTCAGTGAGAAGCCCTGTCTCAAAAAATTAGCTGGAAACTGAATGAGGAAGACACCCAAAACATGTCTCTGGCCTCCACACTTGCATATGCACATAAGTGCATGTGCATGAACAGAACACATGTGAATAATTATTTTTTTAGCAAACATAAAACGTTTTATTTGTAACTATTCATAGGAGGAGATTTTTATTTAATACTGAGAAGACAGAGGATTCTGAAATTGGCTGCAAGGTTTACTCTCTGTTAAGCTTTCAAACCTTCCCCTCCATTTTTTTTTAAACCAACAACCCCAACTTTCTGGTCATTGTTCTTTCTTCTTTCTTGTGATCTCTGAGGATATAGCTTTTAGGTGACCAGTGCCATTAACCTGTAGCCCTAGACCAACCAAGTATACTTTTTTTTTTTTGGTTAAGGTTTTCTACTGACAGTGATTTCAACATCGAAGGGAGGTATTCTGAAGTCTATGCTTTAAGAAAACAGAAAAAACTGTATCCTAACCTCATCTTTGCCCCAGCCTGCCAGAGAGAAACAACAAAACGTGGTAAGGTCTCCCGCTTCTGTACTGTGATTTACTGAACCTAGAAATGGGCTGCAAGGAGAATCTACTGGCCTAGAGAGTTGTCTGAGCTGGCATCTTTTGTGATGGGTCCAAACACTAACTTTTCTTGTAGATGGAAGTTAAGATGGTGCTAGACTATTTTAATATTCAAATTTTGAGACGGTTCAAGAAGGTATAGGGTTTTCTGAACTATATCATCTAACATGTTAATTGTTTTTGCCATAATTATGTATTCTAAAGGCTAAAAACAAACAAACAAAAACCTCTCAAAGTAAATAATACCATAATTGCTGACAACATGATTCTGATATTTAGGTACATATAGGTTGAAATATTTATCTGTGCATAACCACACTTTCTGGAAAATTGCTTTAAAGGGCCAATGGTTAAGTGTGTACATTGCAAGTCGACTGTAGTGGCTCATGCCTTTAATCCCAGCACCTGAGAGGTAGAGGCAGGTAGATCTCATGAATTTGAGGCCATCCAGGTTTACATAGTGAGTTCTAGTACCTGTCTTGAAACATTATTACTAGAAAAAGTATGCGAGTCTCATAGGCCCACAAGTCTCTTTGGGATAAGGGTGAGATTGGGGTAAAGGAGGGTTGGGTCCAGGACACGTAGAAGGTATAGCAAGAATCCTCATATATCATCTCTCATTTGATAACACCCATGGGGGTCTCTGTCTTAGACTCTTACTAAACACCAAAGGTACCAAGAGTCTAGACCAAGAAAAACCTTGTGTGTTATATAAATATGGGCTTAGATTTTCTCCACTATGTAGTTGGCCTCACTGAAGGGTTTCCAGGTGTCAAACACACAACTGTAATTTAGACATGCATTGATGGCCTTTTATACTTCACCACCATAGCTTTAGCAAAAGGCAGTCATTTCCTAGGGGTATAGGATATACTACTCCACCTTTCCACTGGCTCCTTTGGTCTTCTCTGTTCCTTCTATACTGATTTGCTACCCTTTCCATCCTCTCCCTACCTGTGCTTCTCCTTGATTCCCCATATACAACTAAAACCAATCTATATAGAGAAAACAACAAACAAACAAAAACCCCTGATCAATGTAGAAAGGAACTGAAGCAGCAGAGTGATCCATCTTGCTTGAAAGAGCTCAGCCCCACCTCACCCCCAGTGTATTCACTCTTCCACACGCTCCTCTGACATTACCTGTTTTGGTCAATTGCCAGACTTCATGTCCCTGTCCCTACCTAACTCCTAATGACTATGGTCCAGAGGGCCTCTCCTCCAAATCTTCTTTCAGTTTCAGCTGCAGAACATATAAGAGGAAACATCTGTTTCTTACATGAGAAATTCCACATTATGAATATGGGTTGAACTTACTATAGAAGTCAAGCGAGGCAGCCTGTATGTATGTCTGCTTACCACTTATGTGCTTGCTGCACAGAGATCAGAGGAAAGAGCATCGGATCACCTGATGGTTGTGAGCCACCATGTGGGTGCTGGGAACTGAACTCAGGTCCTCTGCAAGAACAATAAGTTCTCTTAATCACTGAGCCATCTGTCCGGCCCTTAGCATAGTACTTTTAATCAGGATGGAGCAACATCTTAAGTGGTGTCATTACTAAGGTTTAGGCACATTATTCAGCTAAATCTATATATGGTGGGAATTTTTTCTTTTTCTTTTTTTTTCTTTCTTTCTGTTTTTTTTGTTTGTTTCTTTGGTTTTTTTTTGTTTTGTTTTGTTTTTTTGAGACAGGGTTTCTCTGTGTAGCCCTGGCTGTCCTGAAACTCACTCTGTAGACCAGGCTGGCCTCAAATTCAGAAATCTGCCTGCCTCTGCCTCCCAAGTGCTGGGATTAAAGGCATGCACTACCACTGCTTGGTGTCTTTTTGGTTTTTCAAGACAAGGTTGCTCTGTATAGTCCTGGCTGTCCTGGAACTTGCTGTGTAGACTAGGCTGGCCTTGAACTCAGAGTTCTGCCCGCTGGGATTAAAGGTGTGTGCTATCATGCCTAACTTGAAATTTTTCTTAAAGATACGTAATCTAATCTAGGTAAGACCTTTTCTAATTTTGCAAGAGCCCTGTCAGGATGAGTTAGATATACATGTATAAAGTAGTATGACAGCCTACAGCTCTAGTGTCATTTATGGTGACTACATATTCCCTCTCCAGATGTGAGTGCTTTACTTTTGTACCTAAAACGGCAGTTATGTGCATTTACTCAACAATAACGAATGTGCCAGGGTGTTTTACTAATGGTGCCAATTCCAAGCTAACATCCTCTCTGTCCCCCATATGATGCCCCATCATTGTGTGTGTGTGTGTGTGTGTGTGTGTGTGTGAGAGAGAGAGAGAGAGAGAGAGAGAGAGAGAGAGAGAGAGAGAGAGGAGAGAAGTTGTGAAGTTTGGTTAGAAGGTTGCCCAAGAGGCAAACCACGCCCTCAACTGAGGACTGTAGTTAAGATCTTAAAGTAGACAACGCCCTAAGAACAGGTGAAGCTGGAAAGACCATCTAGAAATGTGATGCCTTCGATGTCCAAGGTTTAAAAAAGCGTGTTTTCCATACTCTGAGACAAGGACAAAAATGAGTAAACACTTGGAAAAGCACTGAGGCACGTGAATCTGTGTCCTTTAAATTACTTGAGTGTTAATCAGTATGGCTGCAGATTGAATCCCTTGAAAAGGGTGAAAGCTACGAAGACTACACTGGTTTGGGTGAAGAAGGAATCATAAGAGGTTGGGAAAGGCAGTCCCCAAATCTACCCTCTTGGTAAGAGTTAAGACCAGCTTTTCTGGTCACTCCTATTGGATTACATCATGTCTTCCTTTTAGTACACTTCTAGTGCTCTCAGAGTAGCACATTCAATGTGTCCTGTGCTTTGCCGTAGTTTCCATGGAGCCAGAGGGTGAAAAACCAACTTCGAAAGTGCTTTGGGAACCACTGACATTTTCAAAGCTCCTAGAACAGAAGCCTACAAGAAGTGTGCCAGGGGAGAGCTTCTTTCGCCATGGAAGGGCCCAGCAGTGGATTGTCAAAAGTGCGGCTGTTATTAAGTGAAGACAAATCCTTCAAGACCCTCTCCTCACTCTTCAGGAACTGAGGGGCCCTGGATAAGTCACCAACCAAATAAAGTTCCATGTTTGTTGTCTCAGACCTGAGTTGCAGAGTTTGTGAAACGGGGCGTGGCAAGCCTCAGGGCAGAGCCTGGCCCCGCCCCCGTGCGACAGTGGGCGGAGCAGAGGGCGTGGCTGCGTCCCTAGGGGGCAAGGGCAGCCGCGGAGGCCCGAGGGGGGCGGGCCTTGGCCCCGAGTGACGGCCCGCCGGCCCAACCGGTGTGAGAACACAGGGCCTGCCTTCCTGCAGCGTCTTCCGTTCGCCGGCTGCGGCGCCTGGGACGGTTGCGGTGGGTCTGGGCGTTGGGAAGCCGTCCAAGATGATTAAAAAATTCGACAAGAAGGACGAAGAGTCTGGTACGCGCGGCGCTCCGGACGCCCACCCTCAGGCGCCAGGATTCCCTCTTCCCTCGCCCGCAGCCACCTGCTCTGGGGGCGGCCGCAGCGGCGGGGTCTGCCCGAAGCCCCTCCCCCGGCGCCGGGGCCTCCCCTCGGGCCGCGCGCTCCCGGCCGGGAGTCGCCTTGAGCGCTCGGCGGCTCCGCCCCGGCGCGTCCCCGCCCCCCGCGCCCGCCCCCGACCGAGCCCCTCTGAGCCACCCCTCCGTGGGGCCCTGTCGGGGGGCGAGGTGCGCGCGCATGTCTTGGTAGTCTGGGGTTGCTGGTGGGGTTAGGCCCCAGGGCGAGCACCCCGTTTTGGGGGCTGGGGTCGACCGGGCCAGGGTTGCGTGTTTATGGACTCTGAAGGGCCTTGATTCTCCTGTTCCCAGGGGTTAAGACTGCCCGGTGGGACACAGCTCATTGAATGAGCAGGCATCCAGAAGTGACTTGCGTGTTGATACCTGTCTGTGGTGCAGTGCAAGTGGGGAAGATGCCAAGCCTCTTCAAAAAAAAAAAAAAAAATCTTCAGCTCTTCAGTGGTAGCTGCTCTCACAAGTGTGGTGGAAGGTTGGGTTAGTGGACCTTCATGGCCTCATCCTGCATGGCCTCTTTACATCTGTGATTCTCTGCGAAACTGTTCCTTTCTGCTTCAGTAAATGTGTGAAACACATAAAATAGGGCTTGCTTTTAGGGAAATCCATAGTGTCCTGTCATCTCATTACTCTTGGTGGTGGTGGAAACGACACATTTGTTAACATCCATGGGATGGGGGAGGGGGAAGCAGGGAATGAAGGCACTCATTTTGAACAGGGTTCCTATATCAGGAGAAGTCCAAGATATCTCAGTATGGCAATGACAGAATTTGTACCAGAATCAAAATTACTTCATCCAACTTATTTGCATATTAGTAATGGTTGTCCTTGTGACTTCCAAGGGATCATTCTGTCTAGGAGAGAATTTCCCAAGCATGCAATATCCTCCTTTAGAAAAGTCTTTGTAGGCCAGCTACTGAAGACCTTCTCTTTTTCTTATACTATAGGTAGTGGTTCCAATCCTTTCCAGCATTTGGAGAAGAGTGCTGTCTTACAGGAGGTATGGCTTGGATGTGTACAGTGCCTTATCGATCCTGTTTGTCAATGATGGGAAAAAAAATAACCCAACGAGGTACTAAAGTCAGGACAGCCAAAATAACAATGAAGGACGGTAGACCCACCTGACAGTCTGAAAATCAGTCTTCCCCCACATTTGATCAAAACTAGAAATTCTTTTTTTTATTTATATATTATAAGTAACAGGAGTGTTACAGCGCAGAGGATGTGGAGTGGAGGAAAAGGGAGAGTCTGGAACTATAGAAATGTACAGACGTACAGACTGTTGTGTGCTAGGGGATTTTAATGAAACGTCAGGAGCGGTAAGTGCAAGGTTATTCTAAGAACTTACAGATGTTAAGCTCGTGGTATTCATATGTAGACAGAGACTCTGGTAAAGTCTTTAAGATTGAGGTTGTCAACCTAAGGGAATAAAGTATAGCCAGGGAAGCAAGTTGTATCTGATCATTTATTGTACCCCATACTAACTTGAGATCATAGACAACTGTTATTACTTGGATATTGTACTAACATATTGTTAGGATAGTAAAGATAGTTTTTGGTGTCCTCTATGATAGAAAGTACACCATATATAGCATACTGTTTTGCATATTTCTGTAGGCACGCATATTCAACGAAACACCCATCAATCCAAGAAGATGTTTGCATATCTTGACAAAGATTCTTTACTTACTCAACCAGGTAAACTATTCTGATTTCCTTAGATTTGTGTATTAAGATAGAAATAAGTAACCTATAGTGAAGAACTTACTGAGAAGTAGACTTGTTTTTTTTAAAAAAAAAAAAAAATCGCCGGGTGGTGGTGGCACACGCCTTTAATCCCAGCACTTGGGAGGCAGAGGCAGGCGGATTTCTGAGTTCGAGGCCAGCCTGGTCTACAGAGTGAGTTCCAGGACAGCCAGGGCTATACAGAGAAACCCTGTCTCGAAAAACAAAAACAAAAACAAAAAAAAATCATGTAATTTGAAAATCCACAGTGTTTGGTTAGAACAATAATGTGTAAAAGTTCTTTAATACAAGGACTGAACCTTATATTCCTTTCTAAATTCATGAGATATTAGACCAGCTAAACATGTACGTTGATTTGAAGTCAACAAATACTACTTAAAACATACTCGATACATGTATTTACTTTTAGTTTTTTAAAGATTCGTTTATTTATTTTATGTGTATGAATGTTTTACCTGCATGTATGCATGTGCACTGTATGTATGCTCAGTGTTCATAGATGTCAGAAGAGGGCATCTGGTCCCCTGAGACTAAAGTTATGGAGGGTTGGAGCTACCATGGGGGTTCTGGGAAACAAACCTGGATCCTCTGTAGAGTAACAAAAGTGTTCTTAACTGCTGTGCCAACAGCGTGTTTCATGTATTTTGAGATTCTTTGAAAATACAATGTAAAGTCAAACAGATTTCAAGTATTTTGTTTGCTTATTTATTTGGCATAATAGTGAAGTGTTGAAATTTTTGTCTTAATGTTCAGGTTTTATATTAGTATCATTATTACACTAATACTGTCAATATGATTCTGGACAAGTAATTTAATCATTATGTGCCTCATAATGTAAGTGAGGGTTGTAATACCAATCTTTTAAGCATTATAGTTAAATGAAATAGTAGATATAAACAATTATAATAGTGCTGGGCACATAGTTTGTATTCAGAAATACTTTCCATTTGTAACTCAGCAAGTTTTATTGCATACCTGCTGTGTCTTATGAGCTGTTCTAGGCACTGGAGTTACAGTAGACGAAACCAAAAAAAAAATTTTAAATTCTGTGTTCTATTATTGATATTAATTTTCCTTTTTACTTTTGCTTCAATTTATAAATGTAATCTCAAAAAATTTAGAACCTTAGAAAATAGAATTTTATTTTGTAGACAACATATATATATATACATCCTATATCTGGATTATTTATATGTAATGCTAAATGTGTTATACTTACCAACTTAAATTCTAAGAAAACATTTAGTTTTGTTACATTTACTTAGTAGTTTTGTGTATGCTTACATCAAGTGCATGTGGCAGGCAGTTCTCTTTCTTTCATGTAGAACCTGGGAAATGAACTCAAGTCTTCAGGCTTGACAAGTGTCTTTATCTGCTGATGCATCTCATCAGTACCTCATCAGGAGTTTTTTATCATGTTATTTTATAATTAAAGTTTTGTTGTTTTATAAATAAAGTTTAATTATATCTTAAAACCCCCTAATTTATAGTTTTAACAAAATTTTGTTGTTTGCAAATTGAAACTTGAGAAACAAAAAGACATGTCTGTTCTTGAGCAGCGTAACTGTAGTGGTATGTAAGGACATCCAAGCCAAGATTGGTGTGACTTACCTCTCTAGAGCATATTCTGTATTGTGTCAAAAGTGGCTAATTTCACTGTACCAGCAGAGTTCGCAGTAGTGAAAGTTGATTCAAAGTAGTCAGTCAGGGTTGGCCAATACCTTTCTTGGAGCAACTAATGTTGAGGCAGTTGTCTTGAGAAGGAGATTGCCAAGGACAGCATGAACTCGGTCAAGTAGAACAGCTTGGGAGTCATTCGTCTCCTTCCCTGGTTCTTGGTAGAACATTAGAAGAAGAAAAAACAAACAAAAACACCAAAACACTTCAAAATTTCTACTGGAATTGACACAGCCACAAGTTCTGAATTGTAAGTCTAAAATTGTAACTTAAGATTGTTCTTATATAAAGAATCCCACAGGCTTCTGGGTATTTGGTAAGTTTTACACTAAGAAAGGTCTCTCTTGTTGATAAACAAGTTGGACACTGATTTAACTAGTTGTAAACTCTTGTTATACTTTGTCCTTCATCCTAAACTTAAGATATTTTTTTAAATTTAATTTCAATTTTTTTTACTTATTCACTTTACATCCTGCTCATTGCCCACCTCCCAGTCATCCCCCCACAAGCCTTCCTCCTCACCTCTCCCCTTCTTCTCTGTGGGGGTGTGGGCCCCTGGATATCCCCCCCAACCCTGGCACTTCAAGTCTCTGCAAGGTTAGGCACTTCCTCTCCCACTGAGGCCAGACAAGGCACCCCAGCTAGTAGAACATATCCCACAGACAGGCAACAGGTTTTGGGAAAGCCCCCCTCCAGTTGTTTAGAACCCACATGAAAGGCAACAGTTTTTGGGATAGCCCCCCTCCAGTTGTTTAGAACCCACATGAATGCTAAGCTGCACGTCTGCTACATATGAGCGGGGAGGCCTAGGTCCAACCGTGTATGTTCTATGGTTGGTGGTTCAGACTCTGAAAACCCAGAGGGTTCAGGTTGGTTGGCTCTGTTGGTCTTCCTGTGGAGTTCCTATCCCTTTCAGGATCCACAATCCTTTCTCCTATACTTCTATACAAATTCCTAAGCTCCATCCACTGTTTGGCTGTGGGTGTCTGCGCCTGTCTGAGTCAGCTGCTGTGTGGAGCCTCTCAAAGGGCAATATGCTCTTGTCTGTAAGCATAACAGTGTCATTAACAGTGGTAGGGATTGGTGCTTGCCCATGGGATGGGTCTCAAGTTAGGCCCGTTATTCTTTGGCTATTCCCTCCCTTAGTCCCTGCTCCCTCCTCCGTGCCTGCATTACTTCTAGACAGGATAAATATTGGGTTGAAAGTTTTGTGGGGTGTTGGTGTCTCTACTGCTCCACTGGGGTTCCTGTCTGTTTGTAGGAGGTGGCCTCTTCAGGTTCCATATCTCTGATGTAGTGAGTCACAGCTAAGATCACCCCAATTGATTCTTGGGTGCCTCTCTTGTCCCAGGCCAGGTTAAAACACTTTTTTTTAAAATCAAAATTCTTATACTCATGGCAAATAGATGTAAGACTACTTGTATTTTATGTAAAAGAAATTAAGTCCAATACTTTATATAAGATTACTTTATTGGGAGAAATAAGTGTTGAAATGGTAATATTTTAAGAAGTTTATGACTAGAAATGTTTTGAAAGTTAGTGAATAAGCTCTCTAGCCGTGGACTGCCAGATCAGCAGCATCAGCGTGTTGGGAGCTGTTACTGGGTGAGAATGTCCTGCTTCTCTGAGAGTTCTCCACAGGGGACTGTGTTTTGACAAGGTCTTTAAATAATCTGCTATTCACATTAAATATTGTAAGATCCAAATCATACTTCTAAGAGTTTAAAGAGTTTAGGGTCTGTGTTTTGGGATCTATAGCAGCCCTTGAAACAAAAATAAGGGGGTTCTAGATCCTTCTCTTTTGTATTGAACCCTATTTTGCCATATATTCTTGGATTCCTCATAAGCAATCCTTTTTTTTTTTTTTATCTATAATGCACCTGTCCTATACTGGACATGGACCAGCCATTAGACTCTGCAAATGCAGGTGCAAGACCTGCTTGTAGGTACTGTGACCTTACCATGCAATGCAGATTGGAAATTCTATGTACTATTTTTGCCTGTTGGTATATTTCTTAAAGGAAATATAAGCAGCTTCTGTTAAAAATGTAGATACTACAATTCCAGAAATTCTAAGAATGGTGTGCTATTTTGAATTATTTTAAATAAGAAGTCTCTAAATGGCCCTGAGGTGTTTTTTTTTTCTTCTCCCCTGCAGGTTTCTAAATTGAAAGCAGAAAAGTTACCAAGAGGCAGAGTGTTTATAAAGAGACTTCCTCCTGAATTCAAATTATTTTTGAATCAAATGAGAAATAAAGAGTAAATTCTTAATATTTATATTTTTTAATCTAAAATTTCTTTTAAATTTTACTTAGGGTGAACACTTCGGAACTATGGAAGCTACAGAAGCCTTCTTTGCAATGACTCGATTGTTTCAGTCTAATGATGTAAGTCTTTCTTACTCTGATAATGATAAAACATGTATTTTCCCCAGGGAACGAAGAGTGCTCCTAATTAAAGAGGATTGCTTAAAATGTTTAAAATTGCTTTAAAACTGTTTATCTTTATAAAACTTATCAGTGCTTTTAAAATGATATGTGAATGTGAATAGTAAAAAGGTGTCTCTGACGTCATTATGGAAAAGCTCATACCTACAGGCCCACTTCTGTTGGTTCCTAGTAAAGTTTTCAGTGGGCCTGGATTGATGGCCAGTGGGGCTGGCAGTTGAGAAGAGCTGGACTTGGAGTGGGGGCTCAGCAAGCCTGTCGATGTCTCTGTAGCTACTTCTCATTACTCTAGGTCACCACACTGCTTTGAGCATAATAGCTGCTGCTTTCCTTCTGTTTTCTCAGTGTGGTACATTTCTTCCCAGCCCAGGTTAATAACAGAAACTTAGAAGGAGTCAGATTCTGTGGTACATATTTCTTAACTTTCTTTTAGCATATATTTGCCATATATATATGATTAGCACAGCTACATTTTGTGTCCAGTTCCCAGGACTCTCTGGGATTTGAGTCTGCCTATATGTCTAGATGATCATTTTCTTTTAAGAAAAAATTTGCGTGTGTATGTGTGTGATGTGCATGTGCATGTGCATGCATACATGCTGTGGTGCCTCTGTGGTGGTCAGAGGACAACTTGTAGGGCTCAGTTCTTTCCACCACGAAGGTCCTGGTGATTTAACTCAGTGCCTTTAATATTGGTAGCAAGTGCCTACCTGCTGAACCATCTTGTTGGTCCCTAAACAAGTTATTTTTAACATCTTAAGTTTTAACAACATAATTTTTATTAAAATGTACTCTGGTAACAACTGCTTATTTACCCAAAGCTTTGTCCTCTGTAAGTCTTTGCAAATGATAATTTAAATATTTATTCTACTTTATGCTATTGACTGCTTAGATTTCCCTGGTCCAGAGAGAAGCGGTTTAACATTCCTAGCCTTCAGGACATGCTTCCTTTTAATGACTTCCTGTACTAACAATTCAGGAATCAGTTAGAGAAGCAGAGCCACTATGAGTATTAGGGGATTAGGCATTTCCTTTAGGAGTTAGACTAGAAAAGTAGGCATTTCAAGTTGTTGGAGTAGGGCTTACAGGCTTGCTGTTATAAAAGTCAGGCAAGGCGATATGTGGATCTGATTTTGCAGTCAGGTACCTGGTGTTGGACCAGATGGGGTTAGCAAATGGTTATAGGATTAATGTGTTATAAGGGCTGACAGAATACACGGGGTTGTTGAAGTTGTATGGTGGCTGTCACTGATAGAGGCTGTGACATTACAATGAGTCTCTGTCATGAATAATGGTAGGTAATATGGTGTAAAGGGTATAACCTTTCAGACCAGAACATTTTAAGGAAGGAAGTGCATTGAAAGAAGGTGGTAAAACAAACAAACAAACAAAAACAAAAAGCTGGGCGGTGGTGGC